AAATTTAGATTCGAATGCATGTTTACCCCCGTATTTGAATGTAGCATATACTTAATGTACAGGAATCAATGAATGAAAACTACAGAAGACTATTGCAGTTACTTAGTCCCTAACCAACGTTGAAATTAACTTAATGCAAATCGAAACTGAATGCATATCGAAACTGTGGGAAGCAAAAATGTTTTACGATTATATATATATAGCCGGAAAATAGAAGAATTTGCGTCGCTGTTGTAAAATTTTTAGGGAAAAGGCCACGCCAGTGTTTTAATTTTTTGTAGGCCCCATGTCCATATTTTCAGTAAATATCAGTGATAATATCTAATTAAGGTGCTCTACTAGTGGAGATATAAGACTGTTGATAGGGTGGGTATCTGCGGCAGTCATCAATTGATCTCAAATAACCTCGGTAGTTTGTAACCATAGCAACGGGATTATGATTTAAATCTCTGTTGTTATAAAGATTATATATCCATCTTTCAATTGTGATATTGGTCGAAGTAATGTATTGATCACTTCATGCACATTTGTAAAGCAAACTTCGGTGAAAAATACATCAATCACACAGTTGAAAAAAGAAACGGGAGCCACGGGAGGCAGTTAAATGTTCATGCGGCTGTATCTCGAGAGAAACGCAACGGAAAGCTTTAATATTTTATAGTTTAATTAAGGTCACAAAGATAATTAACTGTGAGCAAAATGAGTGTATTCTGTGAGATCCCAACCTTGCCACTTTTTGGCCAATTTGCCTGGTGTTTAAAAAAACTTGCACTTAATATTCATTCATTCTAGTGGACTAAAAATAAATTATGATATGTGACCTTATAAATATGCCAATAAATCAAGGATTAATTTTCAATCCTGTCACACACACATATTTGTGCTAGATTCTAGATGCTACGTGAAGCTTCATACAACTTCTTCACGATGGCCACCATTTTCAAGATGGCGTCCAATTTCACTAACTAACATTTTCTAAAACCAAGGGTCATACATATAAGAATAAGATATTCCATTTCCATAAAACAATTATTAAATGTTCAGCTATACTGTAAATCGATATCTTTAAGAGATTCATTGATTTATTGATGTCCCAATATGATAAATGCAAATTATTTGGAGCACTGAAGTTAGTGTCTGGTTTCTAGTTTTCAGTTTCGTTTTTTAAAAACGATTCTGGAAACTAGAAACTAGTTTCGTTTTTCAAAAACGATTCTGGCATCGAGAAACCAGTGGTGTTTTTGAAAAACGATTCTGAGAAGCCAGAATTAGTTTTGCAGATAATGTTACGGTCTCTCCTCGCCGTGCGCTGAGGCCGGATTGACCGCCTCTACCAGTCACAAGCCGCCTGCACAACGGTAGCCTGGAATGGGGTTTACGAGTGGCTGGGGGTGGGGGTGGGGGAATAAGGGTGAGGAAGGGAAAGCCCCCCAGGGTCTCCCTTTTTAGTTTCAAGTATACTCAACGATTCTGATGCTTAGAAACCAGTGTCGTTTTTTGAAAAACGATTCCGGTAACAAGAAACCAGTGTCGTTTTTCGTAGAACGATTTTCAGAAGTTAGCCCCATAGGTACCGGTTAATGCTGACCCATTAAGTTCTGCTGTGCCCAATTAATTATGTGAATTAGCCTTGAAAAGCTGGGTCACCTCAGTAAATTGGCCATAATTTATTGTTTGCCTTTGTTACCCATACAAAGTATACGTTTTCAAAAACCCAATATTTCAAGTTAAAGAAAATAGAATTGCATTTATATTCAACATGCAGTATCAAGTGTTATGGCCGGTTAAAAACTACATTTTTATTTGGTAATGGATGAAAAAAAAAACAAAATTGATTTATCTTATGCACATTAATTATTTATTTCTCCTTATATTTGCCTGAAAATTCACAGAGATGATGTCAATTAAAGTAACTTTCAATCCAGGAAATTTCAGCAAGTTACCTCCATTAGTTTCTAAGTTATGCTCGTTTTGCTATTAGGTATACTTGAGCCAGCTTTTCAGCTCACCTGAACATCGTGGCCAGAGCTGACTTAGAAGTCAAATTTCAACACCATCTATGGAAAAGCGTCTATAAAACTTATATTACAAATAAAGGAATATCATCGCCACTGTCTATATCATTGTCAGTCGAAAACTCCTTATCAGTGTCGTAGTTTTCAATCATTTCAATAACAGTATCCATCCCTTCCGTAGTGAGGAGCCGCCATTTTGATTTTACTTTCTCCAGTAAAGTCTAGAAAATCGCCGAATTCTCCCTCATATATATTTCTATCGTCCTTTATATCATAAATAAAGGAATATCATCGTCACTGTCTATTGTGACTGTCACACGAAAACTTCCCATCAAAGTCCGAGTTTTTAATCATTTCAATAACGGTATCCATTCGCAGGTCCCTACCGTAGCGAGGAGCCGCCATCTTGATTTTACTTTCTCCAACGAAGTCTAGAAAACCCAGGCCCGTAGCCAGGGGGTTCGGGTGGTTCGAAAGAACCGCCCCTTTTGCTGGGAAAATGTCCACTCTGGGCAAAATTTGATCTAGGTTCATGTTCAGTTTTCTAGGTTCAGTTTTTATGGGAAAAGGTCCACTTTTTCAGAAAAAGACCCCCCCCCCCCTTTTGAAATTGATAGCTACCAGCCTGAAACCGCCGTTTTCTCGCTCATATATATTTCTATCGCCTTTAGAAATGGTGGCAATGAGAGACAAGAACGTGCCCGGGTGTTAAACTATATATCATTTCATGACTCACGATACAAAAGAGTACAAAAGCCGATCTTTCCAAAATACACGGTATGCGGTTCTGGGATTTTGGGGTAAGCCAGGGACGGATCCAGAGATATTTTCTGACAGTCTTCCAATTTAATTTTGTTGATCCATCCTCATTTTTTGACCGTCTTCCAGCCAAAAAATAGATACCCGTGAATTCAAATTTGAAAATCTGACCGTCTTCCGAAGACCCAGAAGACGGCCTGAATCCGCCCCTGTACAGTAAGCGATAATTGAACCGTACATATATGCGGTGACGGGTTCTATGGGGCTAGAATAGTTTTTGCGGAGAGAGTTACGGTCTCTTTTCGCCGTGCGCTGAGGTCTGCTGTTGGGTCTGCTGATCCGTATCTACGGAGCACAAGAAGCCTTCACCGCGTAAGCCGGGCAGGGTGATCAGGGTGTTACGGCTTTTCCTCGCCGTGCTGGAAGCCGGGAATGGGGTTTAGGAGTGACTGGGGGTTTGGCTGGGGGAATAAGGGTGAAGGCGAAGATGGGGAAGGGACCAACGGGCCTCCCTTTGTAGTTTAAAATATAATATTTAAGTTTCTTGAATTAAAAAAAAACATTATGATGCCCAGAAACCAGTGTCGTTTTTCGAAAAACGATTTTGGCAGCCCAGAACTAGTGTAGTATTTTTTTTTTTTTTTTTTTTTTTTTTTTTTTT